ATACATACACGAGGGATAAATGATTATAGCGGTATTCACTATCTTTATATTTGTTTCAGACTTCTTAATAGTAAATAATATCAATCAACTTGGAATATATGACAATTGCAATTAGAATTATGTGTCATATCGGCATTTTCACTATTTGTAAAATGAACAAACCATATATACATATATAAAATGATCAGATGAAATTTGATTTAGGCGGAAGTAAAAGAAGGAATACATATTTATAATGAATTGATTTATAACAAATGTACACTTGTCTGACATATAACGCACATTTTGTTATAGCGGGTCTTCAATGCAAATTCGTCATGTTCATATATTTGCATATGGAGACACATTCACATTGAACGAGTTATCGGGTTCCTGTTAAATAAACAGAATATAACACAATAGTAAGTAATTGCCCATGTTGTATAGACAATGATAAGATAATTCTTGTTTAATTATTTATTTAATTCAAATGTATTTCAGCCGAATCTTACCTTGCTATCGTTCAGCAGTGACCTTAATGACTTGACCAATTTGGTGAATGTCGGTCGATCTCGAGGATGACGATTCCAACACGATTTCATCAGTTGATACCTATTGAGATATTTGTGAAGTCTGTACCAATGATGCATAAATACTAAATATAAAATATTTTAGTTTATCTTAAATTAAAACCTCCACAGTAGAACAAACTTGGAATACAATTGTGTGTTGATAAACAAACAATAACAAGTACATATGTTATACAGGATGAATGTATTATTTTCCTCAAAATACGATCAGTGAAACTTATACATACGTAGCAGCGCGACAATGAGTTGGTTTTGGTAACAATTTTCCATTAGTTACCATCACTTTTACATCTTTCTCTGTTGTACCGTGATAAGGTGTTGATCCTGTAGAAATGGTATGTCGGTCATCATAATTTCAGCATATAATAGAAATTACGAAAAAGTTTGCTAAATTTATTTACTATTTTGTTAATTTATTACTTTTTTGTATATTTTGAAAATGCGTCATTACCATACAATTAAATATATACTTAGTTAGTACAATTAATGGCATTCAACTTATTAATGAATATACACTGCCGATTATCTTTTCGTCACGTCCTCGTTAATTGGGCAATGTAATTAAATATGTTTTACCTTGAGTTATAATTTCCCATATTACAATACCAAATGACCATACATCACTCTTAGGAGTAAATCGTCTGTTTAACAGCGTTTCAACGGACATCCATTGATACGGATAATTACCCTGACAAAAAAGGAAAGAATATTACAACCCAGAACATAAACGCTGTGAGTTTACTCATATAGTAAATCACAAATATTATTTTATCTGCAACATGCGCAATCAGAGAACATTACTAAAGACAGCGTTTAAATATTAATTTTACCTTTGTTTTCTCGAAGAAACGTGCGTCATCTATTACGTCACTAGCATAACCAAAATTAGAAATTTTACACTTCTTGTCATCACTAATCAACACATGCCCAGCAGTCAAATATCGATGCATTATCTGAAATACAAAATAATTGCAACGTCACAGTGTTATGTATAGAGTGTCTGAGTTTTTTGCTGTGACATTTGTAAAGCAGGCATTTTTTTCTTTCTACTAATGTATATTAAAAACGATACTATCTCGGTTTACACACACACACATTAATGGTATAATCACAATACCTTTAAGCTAGACAGATACTCCATTCCATTGGCGATATCCATTACGAATAAAAACATGTCTTTATACGGGGCTTTCATGACTTCATGTGTGTGCTGCGTTTGGAGAAATGTCTTCAAGTCGACATTTAAATGATCAAGTATTATGAAACTGGGACCTAAAAAAAGATAAACATAATATCACTGAATTGAAATGCATGAAAAGTTAGCATGATGCATCAAAATATTTCAAATGTTGTAATCTATGAGTCTACCTACCGTTTTCTGTACAACACCCAAGTATTCGAATTATATTACTATGCCCACGTGTTGATTGCAATATTTCTATTTCCTTCACAATTTCATTTTCTACCAGAGGATCACCGTCTGAAAATGGATATTATGATTAACGTAATTTATATTTTGTCAGCGAAGCAGATATATAGAAGTCAATTGAATGTTTCACTAAATACTCACTACTACTCTTCTTAATCACTACATTAGAATTTCCAGGGACACCATCAATATTCCATGCTTCTGCTTTACTGATTGCATACGACTTCCCAATCGAAATAATACTTTTGATACAAACACGATCTCTTGGAAATTCTATTGTCTTGTGTCCTGATTTCATATAAACAACTTCATTCTTGTCAAATGTAAGTTTAGCATATTCCTCTTCTTTTACTTCATTCTGCAACATACAAATATCTTGTGATTTAGTAAAATACAATGTGGGTTTATGAAAAAAAGTCTTCAAACAAAAACACACAGTTCTCTTCATATATATTCGACCAAATTTACACTGAATAATAACACAGTAACAGTTACAAACCAGATTATTAAGATAAAGTTTGTGACGTATATAAAGTTACTAATATTGTACTCACTTTAGTGGAACTGATTTTCTCAATAGATTCATAAGCTACGTCTGCATTCTTATCAGATTCAAACTTATTTTCAATTCCTGAGTAATCTGTCAATATTGTAAACATTACAGTTCTTTGTAATTACCTCATTGATACAGGAAAAAAAGTGTTATACCAAATAATTGTGACGCGATCTAAATTAAGTTGATTCATAGATTTTGTCTATGTTCAATATATTGTACGGGATACAAATTGGGGACAACAATCAAACAGTGGAGATATTATTATAAATACAAAACAAGAAAAATATTTATAAAATATATAGAAGAAGTATGTTAGAATATCTTAAATTGTGATTCTATAAATTAATGTTTGACATGCTCATGACAAACGTATTTATATTAAACTCACCTAAAGCCACATTTTCGTATCTTCTATCATCTAAAACAGCGTCGTCTGCCGGGAAAATATTTTTTGTAACAATGTATTGTTGTAAAGTATCATGACATTTGAATATATGCTTATTATAAATGAAATAATATATGCCATGGATTGAGTAAAGCATAACAGGTCACTTATAGTATCAAGCAAATTTCAATTCGCTAACCTGTGTTTTTTCTATGTTGACTTCTTCTTTTCAAAAATATTATAAGCAGGTACAATAGTAATCACCAACAAAATAAGGATAACACTTGGCACGATGTATACTGCAGGGTTAGTATGTTTAGATCTATGACCATCAACAATGCTTGCTGACTGAGCTATAAAATACAGACATTTAACTGTTAATTATGTTAAAATGGAAACACGTGTTTTGCATCATTATACAGGCAAACATTATATACTTAATATTCAAGAATTTATCATGTGATTGATTACTGTTTACAGAGGGTAGTTTTTTTTATTTTCAACAACGATAAACATTCATTGTCGTAATTGCACTATAGTATAATTAAAAAACACACAAATAAATGAAATGTTGTCGTGTGTATTCACATGTTTCAATAGATAGTTATAGAGTTGCCTTTGTCTTTCAATACGTTGTGTTCCTAGCGATTTGTTCCAACATTGAATACAGAAGCTGTACATATTAATGACGAGACACATGTTCGTATGGCATTTTTGATTTGAATTTGATTTTTATAAATTTCCGAATATGCACACAGTCAATTTTCGATATTCCATCTCATATGGAACACATAAAAATGAATATTATTTTGATAAGCGAATTTACATATTTGCACACCATTAGCATAACAATGACGTAAAAGTGTTCACGTAGTTTGTGGATCTTCTAACCTTAGTCTGTACATACAATATTTCAACAACAAGTTCTACTGATAAATCTGAAGCTGCATGTTTACCCCCCCCAACACTAACCAATTTGCATAAACCAAATGCTACTGATAACACTGGTTGTGCTAATTTATGCCAGTGAAATATTTACCTCATGAAAATACAATGAAAATACATAGTGGTTATTTGCCAAAATAATTATAATCTCACCTTCAGTAATAATCAACTGTGTTTGACTTCTACTTTCTCCAATTATATTTTTACTGATGACAATAATATTATATTCTGTCGATGGTAGCAATCCATCAATTGTTAGTTTGTTGCTTGTTGTTTTCTCTGTCAATTGTTTTTCTCCATCTGATGATACCCAATATTCAATATAAAATGACTGTGATTCGCCTCCATTGAATCCAGGGATCCAAGTCACATTTATAGTATTATGGGATGGGGATAATTTAATACCTGACACTGGATATGGGCTACCTGTTGATGAGAATGAAATTAAATCAAATGATTAAATATATGAATGGAGTTTAGTATTAACATCACATGTACATTGAACGTACACGCTAAAATATGTTAGTGTTCAGATATTTTAAATATATCAAGAATATGTCAATACAATGTGTATTAGATTATTGCTATTTCGGGTTGCCATGTTTACGTCAATCATGAAAACATATAATAATCAATTGGTTGTATGTAAGCTGTACAAAGGTAGACATATATAGATAGATATATACGGAAACCGGCACGCACATACAGAATGTTGAAACAAATTTTAAAATGCAAATGGCAACTACTATATTTTGAAAACTGCATTCGTAATATCACTAAATAGAGAGTAGAAGCTAACTTATATGAATTATTAACAAAATAAAATATAAAATGTGGAATACACTATATAACAGCGCCGAATTTCGTCCGGTATAATGTTCTATTTATTTCATAAAGATAATTTATACTTGTTTTGAATCGTACAATGGTGTTGGAATAATTTGAGTTAACAAATGTCTTACCAACTTTAACTTTAATTACACAATGTAATTGTTATTGTCAAAGTATAATTACTTACCTTTTCCTCGGAATATTACAATAAATGTTGTATTTGCAAAGTAGTTTTCAGCAACACACATGTAGTCACCATAATCATCAGATTGTGTATTACTAATTGTAATTAAGCTTTCATGTAATGTTCCGT